AGTGCAGTGCAGGCGTGCAGCGGGGGCCAGGAGGGTGTTGAAAGAGGGGGCAGGCCACAGTGCTGGGGGCAGCCCGTTGGCAGGGCAGTGCAATGTGTGAGGGCATTTGGGGCAATGTCTCCCTGTGGGGAGGGGGCAGTGCACTACAGAGGGGCAGTGTTGTGGGTGGGAGCAGCATAGTGAATAGATGCAGTGGGGGGCAGGAGGGCAGTGTACATGTGGGGCAGTGTACAGTTTGCAGAGGGCAGTGCAGTTGAGAAGCAGGGTGGGGGGGCAGTGCAGCTGGGGCAGGAGGACAGTGGACTGTGTGTGAGGGCAGTGTATTGTGCATGTGGGGGGCAGTGCAGTGTATGAGTGCAGTGCATGGGGGTAATGTAGTGCAGGGGGCCTGCAGGGCAGTGTGAGGGCAGTGCAGTGTGTGCATGTGGCAGTGTAGTATGCAAGGGCCCGTGCTCCCAGTGCCCATGGAGCAGTGTGTGCACAGCAGACATGTGCAGTGTGTATGGGTTGCGCAGTGTGTAGCCGGTGTGCACCAGCTGGGCAGTGTACACATGGGGCTGCAGAGTGGGTGCCTCCAGTTTGTGCTCCCTGGGCACGTGGGGCAGCGTTTTTGCCGTGTACATGGCAGGGCAGTGAGGGGCAGTGTGCACACGTGTTCAGGGCAGTGCTGCGTGCGCAGAGGTTTGTGTGCTTGCCGCACACAGGTGAGCGTGTGCATAGTCAGTGTGAACTGACAGTACACTCTTGATGCACCCTTGGAGCGTGCAGGCCAGTGCAGTGTGCAGGGACTCGGCACTCTAATGCGTGCTGCCAGGATGCCCACTGCAGCATGCACAGGCACTGTGCTCACAGTGTATGTGAGGCAGCGCACTGGCAGAATAGTCTGTGTAGTGTGAGCAAGCAGTATGGTCGCAGTGCAGATGCAGCAGGGTGCTGGCAATGTTTCCAGGGGAGTGTGCACAAGCAGTGCACTCAGTGTGCACTGCCAACATGCATGCTCAGGGCAGTGTACACTGCCGTCATGTTCACTGTGTGCGTGCGGTTATGTATAGACAGCAAGCTCAGTGCAGCACAGCGTGCACTGGCAGCATGCTCTCACAGCGTGGGGGGTTGTGTGCTGGCAGCAGGCTCAGTGCACTGTTTGTGTAGGCAGTGTGCCTGTGGGGGGTGTGGGCTGGCAGCGTACTCCATTTTTGGAGGCAGTGCACTGGCAGTCAGTGCACTGGTAGTGTGCTCAGTGCAGTGTGTGCTGGCAGCATGGGGGCAGTGTGCTGGCAGTGTGTATGGGGCAGCACACAGGCAGTGTGCTCAGTGCAGTGCACACATGGGCAGCACACTCACGGGGCAGGCAGTGCCCAGGCAGCACACAGCCAGGGTGCTGGCAGTGCCCATGGGCTGCTGTGCTCACAAGGTACCCAGGCAGTGCAGTGCACACTGGCAGTGCAGTGCACAGCCCCACTGCATGCACCATGCATGCTGCACGCAGCCAACGACCCACTTCCTCAGCCCTCCCCTTGGGCCCTCTTCAGGGCAGTGCCGCCCAGGTCACGCGCTGTCCCCATCACATGCAGGGATGCTCTCGCGGTGCTCACCCAACGGTGCTTGCCCGACTTG